TAAGAGCTCTGGCTTCTCTTTTTCGTGGATATGTAAATGTGATTTTAGTTTTCATATCAGCTAAAACTGCATCATCCATTTTCACGAAAAACGATCTTGGAAATCAACGCGGAGAAAAAGGTGGTGATAATTGTCTAAATGATATCAGCACTTCTCTGATTCCTGATAGCACACTGGCTGATGGAATTATTCGAAATCCAAATATTAGGAGTTCTGATGAGCAATTATTGGCTTTAAAAGTTCGATCCCATGAAACATTGGGGTTCAGAATTGATGGAGGTTTTAACCATTCTTTGCTTTTTCACTTACTTTTTACAAAGCTCATAACAGAATAATACAAACTAGAGAAAATTATAGTTAATTATTACTATAAATATTATTTAAGTTACTCTGCAATAATAAAAATTAATAATTAATTCATTATTTTTTTACAGTCTAAGAAGACATACTGTCTAAGAAGACGTTTGTACATATGTTGATGATTTTTGTTATTATCTATTCTTATTTATTCATATATATTCTGAGTTGCACTGTGCGCCCAAAATTTTTTGTACGTAATAAAACCCTTTCGGCCAATTTATTTTGTTTTTCTTAGAAGTTGGTGTGAATTTTGTTTTTTTCTACTATTTTTAATGGTTTATCAATAAAAGTAATTCATATTTCCTCCTCAAGTAGGGTTCATACGTACCTGGAAAAAATTAAAAAGTGGTAGTAATATTAATATACTTTTTTTTATATTATTATATTTATAGCTACCAAAATATTTTATTTTCTCTAAGCAAATATGTATAGATCCGAAGGTGGTAGGTTTGCAATTTTGATTCGACAGTGAAAGCTAACATCAAGAAATTTTTAGCTTTTTTATGACAAAATTGATACCAGTTATTTATTTTTTTCCCGATGAGTACGAACCCTTACAAATAGTATAACTTTTACAAATCCTAAAAACATATGGAAATGAAGTTTTTGACTTGAAATATAATTGTAGTTTTATATTAATTTTCGTAACTCAGTAACTATGTTTGTAATCCTAATAATGCATAGGTTACATAAATACACATATTTTGAAGAAGAGGATATGTAATTGTTATTGTGAGTGACTGAAATAGGTGGTTGTTGACTTCCACCGGTGAATGTTGACAATCACATAGTCGCTTTAGTAAATGTCCGAGATATATACTAGATCTAGTTCAGTGCCATTGCCTAGTATACATTTGCCCGGTATGTCCTTCATCAATGCTTTTTACGTACAGTGCCCTTGCCCAATATGCCTTTAACCGGTACTTCAAACATTGATGTTTCTCTAAGTATATCCTCAGCAAATATTAAAATATCGAAAAAATATAATAATATCATTGAAAAATTAATATCAAATCTTATATAACAAGTATTTCGGACATTCACCAAAGCGACAATGTGATTGTTGACATTCCTCAGTGAAAGTCGACATTCTTTTGATTTTGGTGAATTCACTGTAACATAATTATAAAATGAAGTTAAGTAAAAAAAAATTTCATAGTTTAACAATAGATGTTCGTTCAGTAACAGAATTTACGAAGTCAAATATGCCCCACTACCTTCATCAATGCGAATTCAATCTTTAAAACAAATTCAATTTGCGACTACAACGTAGTCACACAAAGATTATTATTGTAAAAATTCGGCTTAATCTAACATACATTAAACAAAATTTGCGAATAATTAATCCTTTAAGATAATCTACATGACATTATTACCCTTTTCATTCTAATTTACAATAAGTCGTCGCTAGATCCAAAATAAGGTTCGGGAATCTTACTTTTAATACTTCCAAATTTCAACGGAATAAAAGATAGAATCAATATTTAAAATAATTTTGTTGGAAAAAAAATGAAATTTCAGTTTTAAATAAAAATATTTCGAATGTCTCCTGACTAATTATTCAAATTTGCAGTTTTATAGCTTTAAAAATTCAAGCATCTACCTTATAAAAGTGTGGGTTCCCATCAAAATTTTTTTTTACTGTGGAATTCGGATAAGTGTCATTTCAAGTTAATTTAATTGAATCTATTAAATTTACAGAAGAACTATGCGTTTGAAACTTTCTTTTATAACTCAACAAAAGAAGCAATTACTGCCGAAGGTGTAATATTAAAAACTTCAGGTTGATTGATGAAGATTTCTACTGGTGAAAAAAATGTAAAAATATGCACGAAGTGTAAAGTAGCCCTATATGATTCCTTTGAAAAATAGCGGGAAATTACTTAAAGTTTGTTATAAGTCGGATGGCCAAGTGAAATCAGCTGGGTAAAGTGATAGAAAGCAACAAATTGCAAGTCCCGAGGGTTGGGGGTTCGAATCCCGGACATGGTTACCATTTAAAAGTAAAATTTAATGAAATAATTATTTATTTATCTACGATATTGTGACCTAAAAATATTCCTTCACTTACATTTTTTTTCCCTTCTGAGTGTGTTATATAGTGAAAGTGTTAAAAGTAAGAAAATGTTGCTCATACACTGTATTTATAAATGGCACCATATTTCCTCGTTGTTTAAACTATTATATATTCAATCTAGGTCATACTATACTACAACCTACTATATCCCGTACTAAAGGAAATAATTGTAGATAAACTTTAATCCCATAACATGACAAAGCTACAAATAAAAGGGGGTGGCTCAATAGGGTTAATTTGAAAAATCGCGGGAAATTTCTTAAAGAGCCTGTTCTGAGTGGGATAGCCAATTTTTAACGATAGATTTAAGCGATAAAAAGCAACAAATTGCCACTACCGAGGCTCCGGAGTTATCCGTTTTTATCTATTATTCACTATTTTCCAAAGAAAAAAATATTTATAATATATAGAACACTTCAAAATACGGAAAAACACTATTAAAAAAATTTAAAAATTTGACTACAGCCACTATTAGAACCCAGGTCACTCAGCTCAACGAATCTTACTCGCGAACAGCCCTAACAACTAGGCCACGCCATACACGGTTAGTCTAAAAAGGTTTTTGGGCCATTGTGGGAACCCTAACTGGTCTAAAAAATTTCCTTTGGTACGATTGTTTGGCACATTAAACCCTATTTAGGAGTCGAGTTTGAAAATTATAGCATAATATTAAAAGGAGTTACGTGGTTTTGACGTGTGTGTGCCGTCCCGATCCATTTCCGCCCCCTTTTCAGCAATTATTCACACTTTAACAAAGAAAGATTGTTTCTATAAATAGAACACATTATTCACGCTAAACTATCGAAAATATTGAAAACGAAGTTTAAAAAAAATTATATAAAATAAACAAGTAAATTATCCTGAATTTATCAATTTTTTACCTATTATTCGCTATTTTCCAAAGAACTTTATAATACCGAATAACACTTTAAAAAATAATATAAAATAAAATTGCTTTCAATAATATTTCAAATTTATTCTATGAATTTGCATTGAATTTAATTCAATTTGTTGGAATAGGTATTTTTAATGAAATTTTCGGAAAGTTTCTGCGATAAATTTTTAAATAATTAAATATTATTACCATTGTTTTTATACCATTCATTTAACTAAAAATTATATTTATTTAATTTTTTTAGAATGATTAGAATTCCCAATGCAACAGATTTGTTTATTTTAAATTTAGAATGATTGCTTTTATCATAGTACAGGGACAAATTCAGATATTATCTTTTTCACAGTACGTACTTAAATTCAAGAAATTAAAATTAATGTTATCGTAATGATTATGAAGAAATATTAAATCCTCGGGGTTTTACCAAAAATTATAGAATTCAGAAAATAAAATATAATGATATCGTCAAGAAAAATCTGAAAAAATATTTGATATTAAGTGTTTTTTTTTTCTTCCATTTAGTTAAAAATGTCGATCATCTCTGGATCAATTTCGAGTATTATCGTTTATTTCTTAAGCCTATAATCATTTAGCTCTATCACTATTACCTCCTTATCCACAAACTTGTTTATTTTAATTCATGTTTAGCGTTTGATTACTATAAAAACTCATTAACTGATTTAACTCATTTTAGTGACTGTAAAACTATAAAAACTCATTATTTTTTGTCGAAGAAATTATTTAGTAATATTGAAAAAAGTTGAATTCTAGTATTTTTTTATAATTTTAAATATGTATTTTGTAACAGCATTTTAATATCATGCGTTAACTAAAAATTATATGAAAAATAATTATGAAAGTAAGCATCCATTTAATCAATATCAAATAAGTAAGAATAACAGGAAATAATATTATCCAAGGATAACTAATTTACAAAGGTGATAAATAATTTGCATGTAAATGCGTTTATAATTTTCAGTTGATTACAAAAAAAATCTATAAATCTTGATCTATAAAAAAATCTATAAATGGTCTATAATCTATAAAAATCTGTAAATATAGATTATAGACCTATAAATATAAAAATAGATAAAAAAAATCTATAAAAATCTATAAAAGATAATTGTAAGATATATCTTTTGGTGATATTAAGGGATTTAAAAAACGTGTTATAATGCCAGTTTTACTAAACTTTCATGCAATAATATTTTTGCTAAAGTTTATGATGATAATATTCCTATTAACTAATGTTTGAGACACTTTACATAATAAAACTAGCTTTCAAATTTTACAAAACTTTTTTATTGTAAAATTATTTATTACCTTTCTAAAAAACAGCTTTGAACAATAAAAACAATCAACTTTGATTGAAAGTAAGAAAAAAAAGAACCCAATAAAATGCAGCGTTTATAATATCGTTTGCTCAAAAAATCGAATTCTTTTCCCAATTTTAAAGATTATTTTATAGTAATAATGAAAGAAATAAAAATTACGAAATGTTGTTCTGTGAACCCGTATAATTTCAAATAAAGATTCATGAAATTAATATTCTTAAATTATTTCATTTCTTCCCACGACCCAAAAAAAAAAAAAAAAAATCGTCACGTAGTTCTTGCAGATCTCGTTTCCATGGTAACAATGAAAGCTTTCTGACTGAATTTTGTTTTATTCTTGAAACAAATGATTGAAACAGAACGGAAAGCAAATTTCACTAGAATTTGTTTTCCTTTCTTCAAAAAATGAATGTTTCTTCAGATGATTTCATATTAACGTGTGTAAAAAACATCGTTTATAAATATTTAGTCATAGACATAAACGATTCGTCCTTTGAGAACTTTTTAAGCGAAGATAAAAACAAAGATATCGTTCTTAATGTACTTTCAGAACCAAATGAATCTCAGAAATGCCTGTTTTTCTACAAAACTATTATTGAAGAGGAAATTGAACCAGAAGGTACTGCAAAATTTTATAATTTTTTTTAAACTGTCATGTGAAATTTTTAGTTATTTGTAATTTTTATTTAAATTTCATGAGTTTTAAGTAATGTTAATTTGCAATGAGATGTAATTAGGTTATTAATATTTTTATTTCGTTCAACAATACGCATCTCAAATATTGCATATACGCATCAAATATAAGTTGAAGCAGCGTACAGTGCACAAAAGTTTACAAAACAGAAAATTTTTAACTTCATGTCACCTTCTTGAAACATTAACCAATTTCGTTTTTCTAAACAATGAATAATTAACGCATAAATGTTAATTTCGCGTCCCTTTAAAATTTTGTTTTTTACGCTGAGGCAACGTGATTTTGTAATTTATATGCTTTGAATAAAAAATTTTGAAGGTCGTAATTCTTGCGTAACATAAAATACTGATGCAACGAAGCGATCATAAAACTTTATATTGCAAAGTTCTTTTTTTTCATTTGTACTAATAACCACATAAATTGAAGCATAGGTAGCCTCATTGTATTAGGTAGGAAATTTGTAGAAAAAAGAGAGCTTAAAAATGTAAGGAACTATTCCATTCTTCACCCATATTCTTTCCACTGGTTGTTCAGGCAAGTGGAATAAAACCACGATAACAAGTTAATAAAACTAGTCAATAAATGTCCAGGTTTAGAGCATTTTTGGATTTTTTCTTCTTCTTTTCAGCGCTAAATTTATTAAAGAAGTCAGTATAGGGCTAGATCTAGTGAACATGGAGGAGGATGAAGAAGTTCCGATTCCTTGAATGTTGCTATAATTATTTGTGTGTTTTGGAAATGCCATGCAATAAGAAAAGGAACGATCTATTGACCAAATCTAGGCTTTTTTCATTAAATATTTACATTATTTTTCTTAGATAGTTGCAGTATATTTCCATTGCAATAGAAGAGGCTATTCTTATAAAATCATAAAAGATAACACTCGCTCTAGAGCACCTAAAATTCCCCATTAACCTTTCTTTTTAATTTTTTCGCGTATTAATAATTCCGTTTCGAAGTGTTTTTCGCAGATTGATTCTAATTCAACCAACAATAAGGCCAAGTGACACTAGTCCCAAATGCACTATTTCGCCAAATGCTTGGTCTGCAATGCCATAAACTCATGCATCGTAATGGTAGAAATTTCCAATCATCACCTTTCAATAAAATTATCTTTTTAGAGCTTACGATGATTTCCTTAAACATGTGAGGATATGTAAGTTATCAGAATATATATATAAATAAATAAATAGCTAGATTATAAAATACAAAATAAATCAAACGTAAAATGTTTTATCAATGTGAAATATTTTTCGGTTAAATTTGGCACATTTAACCAGCAAACTTGGATTCGAATCCCAATAATGATTGGTCGATACAAATTTCGCATCTGGCTTGCTGCACTGACCACAGAGCTGATGTGAAATATCCTCAGTGGTAGACGGATCATGGGCTAGAGTCCCCTTGCTGTCAGGCTAAACGTGGAAGGATCTCGTGGTCCTCCTCTCCATGTTACGTAAATGCGGGTTAGTTCCATCAAAAAGTCTTCCACGAAGGCAAATTTCTCCCAATACTTGATCCAGGAGTCCCTTTGTCTTCTGGATTACGTTCAAAATTACAAGGTTACGGAGTTGAACATTAGTAGGAGTAAACCCTAAATTGGGTCGACTGTTCAACGACGGTTGTAAAATAAAATAGCTTCTGATTGTTTTAATTGCATTTTATAATAGTTGCAATCTTTTTACAACTTTAGCGTTTTAAAAAATGGCAAGGCGTCGAACTCTGGTTTGTAGGCCCACTTCGTTCTTGCCTACAGATTTAATTGCATCGATATGCGGAATGTATTAAAAAGGAAAAAATTACCAAATTCAAATAGCAACTGAGCAAACCAACAATCAAAATTAAAGAACTGAGCAGATAGAAGGTTCTACGCGACATTTTTCAGATAACATTTTATGATAAAAGTGATCTTCTGTGCATGGGAAAAAAAGCAATTATTCTCAAAACGCACTTAAAAGTTTTCAAAGAATGCAGAGTTGATTCACACTAGCTGACAAACCGAAAGTTGTTTTCATATTCCAAAATTGACAAGTTAAGTGTCTGAAAGTTTTAAATGACTATTTTTCGAATTTGTACAAATTAGCATTAAAGTTTATACGTTGTCCTACTTTATGTGTGATAAAATAAAGATAACGCTTTACACTTTTAAGAAGAAAAAACTATAAATTTCAAAACATTCGAAGTGTTCAGATATTTTCACATTCACACTCATGCTGTTTTAATGTACCCAAAAATGGACCTTCTAAGGTTGTCGTTGACTGCTAGTTGTTAAATAGAGTTGAAACTTTCTTAACCCCTAAAAACATTCAAAATATATCCCTTAATATCTTCATCCACTGAGATCTATAAAATTTAATTGTCCTCAAAAATTAATATTCCATAGTTAAAAAAGACTTTTCAATTTTTACAAAAATGTTAATTTTTACAAAAATGGTACTCAGATCGTTCTTTCATTAATCTTTTTAACTTATGGAATTTAATCTTAAGACATGTAGAAGAAAAATAATAAGTGAATAAATGGAAAATTACGAATTTGAAACCAAACAAAGGGTAAATTCATTGAAATTAAGAATGGTATGCAATGAAGATGCGTGAAAAAGATTACTTTTACATCAATTTCGATTGTTATGGATACTTGAAACTATTTTTATTTTCAGATGAATTACCGAATATTGAAGAGAAGCCTATGTCTAAAGTGGCACTTGATATTTTAAAATCGTTAGATATTATTGATATTAATGCCGAAAATAGACAGGACACGAATGGTAACACTTTTTTTTATGGCAAAATAAGGATTAATGGAATTTTAAGAATTTTTAATTTTAAATTCTTCATTAGTTATCTACATTTAACTAAAACATCACAGTAGCTCTTAATCATTAATGTATCATAATTTTTTTATATCAATTCCACATTTTAATAATGCTCCTTTTAATTGTCTTTCAAAAAACATTATTGAAAGCAAAAAAAAAGTATGGAAATTATGTTATAATTTATGTAAGCTTTAATAAAATAAAAATAAAAATTATGTATAATAAAATAAAATATATAATTTTTTTTATATAAATATAAACTAATCCTGAACAAATTAAATATAAATTCGCGGTTACCCAATGATATCTATAAAAATAAAAATTATAGGTACTTTAACGTGCTGAAAAAGTTATATGGTTATTTCTGTATCGTTTTTTTGTCACAGTAAATGAAATTTGAAAAAATTCTTCTCCACATTTTAGAACTTACATACTATACCTGCAGAATATAATATAGTATTAACTATTGAATATTTAATGCGTCTTAAAAATATGCAAAATTATTCCCAAAATTCGCTATCAGACGAATTGCATACTCAAAAAAATTGTTTTCCATTTTTCACATTCTTCACATTTTGGCGGAAAAAATTAATAACAATAAGCTTTTTTCTGTATCAAATTATTCTTAACTAATAGCTTATAACGTTGCGCAAAATTTAACAGCTAGTTTTAATACATTTTTGCAAAAAATAGGAGAAAACAGTTTATCTGTATTTTAACTTTTATCACAAGGAGAAAAATTTATATATATATATATATNATTAATATATATATATATATATACATTGTTATGAACTCAATGAAATAATTAATTTTAAACTATGTTAAATGTTAAAATATAAATATTTTTAAAACATGAATGAAGACGGAAAAAATATAAAGCAACGTAAGAAGCGTGAAATAGCTTGCAATACACAGTTACTTTAATGCTACAGAAAGTAATCGTTCCAATCTCTAGAAAGAGAAAGCAAATTATAGTTTGTCTAAAATAAGAACTCCCCTAGCTATTCGTCTGGACCCGTGGCAGTGACTATGGTAACGAAGTATAACTATTTCAAGTAGGGGGTAGGGTCACTGTTTAGGACAGTTTTGACTCGGGTCTATTGTGTTAGCCCTAGAGTGGAGAGAAACTACCCATTCTGAAATACACTATTCTTGTTTCCATAGCAGCAGACGGACTCAGACTTTTTGGAGGGGGGAGTTCGAACTGTAGACAAAATATATGAAGATAATCTGCACAAAAAGCATTCTTGTTTATAGTACATGAAATACATAGCTGTATGTTTTAAAGCAGATATTTTTTTTTTTTTAAGTTCATCTATTGTATTACCTATACAGTTGATACACCTTAACCAAGAATGATCGGATAGTTAAAAATTTTATATTGTTTTAAAATAAACTAGAAATTTCTACCGATTCATTGCAGCCTCAGAAAGCGCCCTCTTAGCAACATCAAATATAGAACCTGAAGATGAGAAGGATCAATCTGATCATAGCTTACATTCAGTATCAACTTCAGGTGAAGAACATGGTGAGATGATTTTTATTATTTTATCTACGAGCTATGCTTTTTTTCTCTTCTAATTAGTTGAAATAAAACCGACCCTTCTTCTATAGAGGCCATAGTAACTTCGGATAAAAGAAATTATGAGACAAATTCTTATTCCGGCTAAGCAGGATAGTTTTCCAAAGTCTCCCAGAAAAATAGAACTGTAAAGTTTGATACAGTTATCTTAAAAAGAAAGTGAAATCGAAAACTGGCAAATTAACGAAAACTGATACCATCTGAAGCAACAATTTCTGCCTTGGCCCCAGTTAGGCACAATATGGCTCCTATAAGAATATGTACCGAGGGACCAATATTTGGATACCCAGATTTATTTAAAATTGGCCATAGAATGGCTGATATATGGCCTACATTGGCCAATATAGAATCTATAATGGCTAAATAATGGTTATAAGATATCGGGTGAATCTGACAATTCTATATAGGTTCAATATTGGTTGTAAAGTGGCTGTAGAATATCGGGTGAATCTGAAAACTCCATATCGAAAAAATAACGGCCCTTTGAACAATTATTGAGCCAAGATTCTTGAATATTGGCCCAAGCTATTTTGCTGATAGGGATTTATTTTGCAATGTTCTTTTTTTCCATTGTTTATTGATCCTATTAAGTTAAATGATGAAGTTATACTCAACATAAGTCTTTTATGTGAATATCAACTAAACTCTTTTATTATTGTTTATTCAACATAACGAACATATTTGTATTAGTCAATTCAAATTTGTAATTGGCTTTATTTTTTCTGTAACTGTTTTTGCCGAATTGTTTTGTCTGCTTATTTTTTGCAAACTTTCTTAAAAACTAGTTATTGTTTATAATTTTTTTTAAACTACAATTTTAATTATGCAATTAGATATTGAAAAATCTCTAATTTTAAGAAAGATAATGCTGTCTGTTTAAACAACAAGGTAAATGTAACTCATATTTAAGGTGTAATTATTTTACCATTAATAATTTTCAAACTTCTGAAGTAAAAAGAAAATAAGAGAAATTACTAAATAATGAATAAATGAAGAAAAAACACGAACATATATTTTCTTGGTTTTTTAAAGGAAAAAAAATGAATTAATTTCAAAATAAAATAATAAGAAAATTGCTAAAGTTTCGCAATTAGTAAATATAATAAAAAAAATTACACAGTAAGAAAATTCATCGATGAAAATAGTCCATTGCATTTTTTTCTTTCTATAATGATTGCATTATTTATCGTCTGTGTCAAATTTAGTAATCATATCGTAAATTTTTACAATCGATTGTATCTCACATTTTAAAGCAGATGGTATTCATCGATACACCTTTTACTTGAATCAGCAAAGTTTGAATATCGTATAGGAACTCTTTAGCAAGCATTCGTGCTTATCTAATTATAAGCATGTGCTTAAACTCAGGAACGGTTTTTGAATACGGGCTTTAGTTGACTATCAAAACTCATTAGGAAGTCATATGAGGAATTATATCAAAGATATATGAGGTGGCAAGAAGTGGGTTTTTCAACAAGGTGATACTTGTCTACGAAATAAAACCTTAGTTAGAGCTAAAAATATAGAAGTTTTAAACTACCCCATTTAGACGCGGTGGTTTAGGGGATAGAGCGCTCGCCTTTAAATTGGTGAACCGGGTTCGAATCCAAGTGATGGTTGCAGATTCGAATTACGCACCCTGCTTGCACCGACCATAGTGTCGGCGTAAATTATCCTCAGTGGTAGACGGGTCATGTGTTGGAGTCCCCTTGCTGTCAGGCTAATCATGGGTGGTTTTCGTGGTTTTCCTCTTCATGTAACGCAAATGCGGGTCAGTTCATCAAAAAGCCCTCCACGAAGGCAAATTTCTCCCATTGCTTAATAAAGGAGTTCTCCTGTCTTCTGAATTGGATTCAAAATTGCAATGCTACGGAGTTGAACAGAAGTAGTCGTTAGCCCAAAAATTGGTTCGGCTGTTTAATAACGGTTATAAAATAAAATTTAAATAAAAAACTACCTCCTTACCTTGTCCTGATCTGAAACCATAGAAACTATTTGAGATATTGTATTTCTAGTTACATGTGGGAACAGAAATACGTACTTTTAGTACAGTAACTGAAAAAAGCATGTGTTGAACACTGAAATGTTTATCATTGTTCTTATAGTTAACAAATTTTAAAAATTGAATTTTGTAAGTATTGATGAAAACGCTTTCTAAATTACTCTGATTGATTCGAAAATGTTGAGGAAATTAAATTTAAACCTTAAGAAAATTGGGTATTTGGCTAGAAACCCATGTCAATTAATAAAATAAAAAAAATATTTCAAATTATTATTTAGTTGATTATAAAGTAAGAATCTTGCATTCCTATAATTTTCCACAGGTAAGGTTTAGTTCATGTTAGAAGAATTCAGTTTGAACAAAACCTTTAATGCTGTTATCCTTTATATGAAATTGTTGTTGTTGTTGTTGTTGTTAATTTACGTCGCACTAGAGCTGCACAGTGGGCTATTGGCGACGATCTGGGAAACATCCCGAAGGATGATCCGAAGACATGCCATCACAATTTTGATCCTCTGCGGAAGGGATGGCACCCCCGCTTCGGTAGCCCGACGACCTGCGCGCGAAGTCGAGCACTTTACGGTAGCACAGTTTAACGAGGACCAATACCGCACACCCTCGGTCCCTACGCAGACTGATCCAAGTGGTCACCCACCCGCACACTGACCGTAGCCAGTGATGCTTGACTTCGGTGATCTGCTGGGAACCGTGTCTTAACGATCAGTCCACTGCGGGACTTATATGAAATTAAACACTATTTTTGAGCCGGTTAACTAAACCAGCGGATCCCAATTTTGCATAATGGTTATTATAGAATCCCTAAATGATCGGACATCTTTTGATAGAACTATAAATATGTAACTAAAATTTATTAGGAACTGTGACCATACCAACCTAAGAAAGACTTCTAATTATTTTGATAATATTTAATATAAGGAATGATATTTTATTTAATAATCGTTTTATCAATGTAATTCTTAAAATAATAAGTTTTATGTCAATAAGTTAAATACGCAGGTCTGGAGTGGTATCTAGTCTAGTTAAAAATGAATAAATAAGCTGAGAGAGAATTATAGTTTTCGAAGAAAAAAAAACTCTTCTAAACGTGGATAATAGTTATTTTAAAATCATAATTCGCTATTCTTGAATTTGGTCATTCTATTTTGAAGTGAAAAATTCGACGTGAATTACTGACGTAATTATTCGCATTCTTTCCTGGCATTTTACTTAAATAATTTTTAAAACAAAGCAACCGAATCAGCAAATAGATTATGATGTATTGTTCAGTTATAAATATAATTACAGGTTTCAAAAATCATAACTGATTTTTAAAAAAATTTAGACTATCGGAACCCCTGTGACTCTTGTCCACGGAACCCTAGAGTTCTTTGGAACACCTGGACTACATACATGATACGAGTGGCCATTAATAAAATTTTAAAAAAAATGAATACTTTTCAATAATTTATGATTTATATTTATCTGTAAAAAAATCGATTGATCTTATGATGCATTTTTGGAACAGTTCTTAAATTAAGGACAATGGATAATAGGTACTTTTGGAACGATTCCTAAATTAGACCTAAATAAGACCATGAGTACTAATGGATCATGTTTTGATATATTTTTCAAATGAATGACTGTGATATAATTTTAAAACTGTCAGTTTGGTAACTTATGATGGAACCCTTTGTAACCATTTTTATAAGGATACTAATGGGCTACGATGCAGATTTTAATGATGCATATCTTAAAGTTATAATTTTTTCATTTTAAATGTCATCAGTCTTGAAACGTACGATGGAATCTTTTTGGAACTGTCCCTAAAAAAGGATCTGAAAACTGATACAGATTTTTAAAACGCGTGAATGTGATAAAACTTTTTCAAATTAAATGTAATCAATTTCGTAAATTACGGTGAAAGCTTTTGTAACTGACCCTTGAAGAGATCTTGTGAGTATAATACAAATTTTTGAGACGAATTTTAATGTGATGTAGTTTTAAAATTAAATATCATCCTTTTTGTAAACTACTATGAAATGTTTACATTAAAAAAAAAATTGGTTAACTATTTTTTTTAATGTTTGTTTTGAAATATTCCTCATTCAATGTTTTCCTTTTTTTTCTCCTTTTAAGAACCAAAAGAAGGTAATATTGAGGAAATACCGGAAGTGTTAATAAATGACGATACAGAGGATTCCGATGAAAACGAGAACCCTGACGAAGACAAAGAAAACGGAAAAAAAGAATCCAGAGAACGTCTAACAAAATCTAGGGTAAGGGTTTAGTTTCAAACTGTAAAAAAAATATTCACAGTTAATTTTAAGTGATAAGTTGTTTAACTAGTAATATTTTTAACAATCTATAATAAATTTTTAACGTTGCTCTGGTTTAAATATTTTTCACTTTTTTTTTCAGTTTTGCTAATTTTTAAAATTTGAATTATTTAATTTATAGCTTGCTGCAATTTGATTTAGATGCTTTTTTTTCTCGAACATTTCCTTCGAGAGATACAAAATAACTCAATATGCGAAGTAGAATCAAAAAATTTTAGGCTGATGATCAACCCGAGGCCTTAACCATTAAAATTTAGCCAATATTCACCTAATTAAGTCAATGTTGGCTAAATTTAGATGAGTATGATGTATGGGAAATGCTTCAGAGGCTAAAATTTACTGACAATAAATGTGTTTTAGAGTTAAAGATAAAAAGGTTATGAATTTTAATTTTTTCTTAGAAATCTTTTTTTTTATTTCCATGAAATTAATAATTAAAAAACGTCGGTAAAGACAGAATTTTCTTTTCGTTGTAATAATTAATAATGTAATAATTTCGTTGTAAATTTCGTTAAAAAATTAGGTTAGGTTTTTATTAAAATGAAAAAAATTAGAATAATTCTTTTAATAAATTATAGAGGCAAAGACTATTCTTGTTACTATACTAAAGTATGAAGTTAACAATGTATGCATAACTATAACAATATTTGCAATCCAGTTTTAAACGGAAAAATATTAGTAAAAACATTGAAAAAAGTACATTGCACGCACATGCACGTACTACGAACACGTACATTGCACGTACATACAAGTACATGCACGTACTACACAGCAGATGGGGTGCATGATCCGGAGTTCCAGGTACTACGAAAGCAATCAAACTAAATTAAGCCATTTTCCTTTTTGATACCTCAAATTGTTCCTTAAAATCATTTATTAGTAGCAAAAACAAACTTTAAGGCATCTTTTTTCCCTCTTAAATCTTTACAATAACAGTACTTTTTAAACAAATGATTTTTTTTCAAAAGTTATATTTCCTTAAGAAATATATATATCAATCAAACTTTTTAAAAATATATATATATTTTTTAAAGCTAATACCAGTTTATTTCTTATTCAGAAAGTAAAAATTGGATTTCTTTAATTTTGAAATATTTATTTACGATGTAATGGTTCCACAAGTTTAACCGTTGCCATTCGTGGAGTTGTAATGAGGCTTTTTTTTGTAGCCGTGTAAGAGAAATAGTAACGTAAACAAAACAAAGCAAACGTTGCCACCGGCGGAAAAGAAATACAGCCAAAATTTGGGAGTCACGTAAGAGAATTATGTATATTAGATATTTTTTTACTTCTTATAACATACTTAGTTCTGAACTTGTTATCTCGGAAACTCGCAATCTCGAAATTTTTTTAGCTTCCTTTCAACTTTAAAATATCGAGAGTATACTGTATATTTTGATTCAAACAGTGTGCTCATTTTCAATTGCAGACTTCGTTGGTGATGATTGTGAAGAAGATCAAACTTCAGATGTGTCTGAATGTAGCTGAATACGAACCTTCTCAACAATATGTCTATTTCCTGAAACGTGTGGACGATATTTTACCACCTGTCCATTCTGCAGAAGAAGCTCACAGAATGATAATGCACTACTTCGAGGTGGGATACCTTTCGCAGCATCCACTGGTTTGCATCGACAAAGTGATCTCACTGGTAAGTTTCACTTTTATTTGTTAGAATACCTTTCTCAACAGCCACTAGTTTGCATCGACAAAGTGATCTCACTGGTGAGTTTCACTTTTATTTGTTAGGATACCTTTCTCAGCATCCACTGGTTTGCATCGTCAAAGTGATCTCACTAGTGAGTTTCACTGGTTATTAGGATATCTTTCTCAGCATCCACTGGTTTGCATCGACAGAGTGATTTCACTGTTGATATTCACTTTTTGTTGTTAGGATACCTTTCGCAGCATCCACTGGTTTGCATCGTCAAAGTGATCTCACTGGTGAGTTTCACTGTCAATTGTTAGGATACCTTTCTCAGCATCCACTGGTTTGCATCGACAGAGTGATCTTACTGCTGAGTTTCACTTTTAGTTATTAGAATACCTTTCTCAACATCCACTGGTTTGCTTCGACAAAATGATTTCACTGGTGAGATTCACTTTTAGTTACTTTTATCTCTAAGCGCATAAGAGGTCAACTTTTAAGCTTTAGTAGCAAAAAAGGGTATAGAAATGTTTTCTGTGCAGCGTTTCTCTTGTGATTATCATTTCAAAAATAATTATAGCAATATCATTAGGGAACACCAAAGAATATACATAGGAGAAGAAGGCTGACTTCCGTAGGCATAATGCAAACCAGTGTCCCAAGGTTTGTTGTGGTCCTTGTGTATAAAGGAAAGAAACAATATTTCGAGACATAGTAGTTGAAGTTCTTGAAACGGGTTTCCATCCTCCTCTGGAGAGAAGAAGACACTTTGGTAAACGGTACTATAATGTTAACAAAGATATTCCTTTGAGAAATCATTTATATCATCCATGTTGATTACATTTGTTAAAACTAGAACATACATAGAAAGAAAGAATAAAACGGCGGTTGGTGGGAGGCAGCATATAGTTTGTCTACAGTAAGAACAACCCCGCCACAAAGTTTGAGGTCATCTAATGCTATGGAAACAAGAATGGCGCATTTCAGGGATGGTAACTTCTCCTCATTCTAGTGCTAACACAATAGGCCAACGAAAAAGATTCCCTCTCTCTCACCAACTCGAGCCAAAACCTATCCCAAATAATGACCCCACACCTCTACTTGAAATAGTTATACCTCGTTACCATAGTCACCGCCACGTGTTAAGAAAAATAGTTAGGGGAGTTCTTACTTTAGACAAACTATACCCAACCATACATTTAGAGTTGCCCAACAACTGGTTCACGGGTGACGCACCTTCTGACTATCACTTTGATTCTTATGCGCATGCTGTTAATCTTAATACATACGAAACTTTGTTAAATCTGAGTGCGTTACTCATCCCTTAAGTTGTTTTTCTGGAATAGCATACCGAACCGAGTAGTTCCCAGCGTTAGTTGCGTATTCTAAGAGCTGGACTTTTTGCGTTTAGTAGGAAAAATTTTGTCAAAAAAAAGTTTTATAAATTTATTTTGACTGTTAATATTTTTGGAACGGCAAAGATTTGCCACAAAAATTCCTATGTTGTTTAGATATGTAAATATTTCTTATTTTACTATTTAAAAGCGTTAAGGTCAAATTTTGTAAATTTAATGAAAGTTTAGAATCATAAATTTTCTGACCAAGCTTCGCAATTATATAGTTCCAAGTTGTTTTAGAAAAATCTAAAACAAAGTCAATTTGTAAAGATTTTTAAGTGTGAAACATCATTCTGAAATAACTTTTACTGACGTTTTTTCCTGCTTAATATGTAAGGAAAATGATAATTATTTGTCTAAGTGTCAATGCGAGAATAATTTAATAAATAAATATTTTTATTCTAATTAAGTGTAATATAAACTCTCTCGTTCCTGTCTTTTAGTTATACATGCCGATGCTTGCAGAGGAAAATTTGAAAGCTCACGTACCTTCAAAACTGTATAAGATTAAACATGACCAGGTAATGTTATCTAAAAGACATCAGAATTTTCAACTTTTTGTTCAGTTATTACATGGGTTATTGGGGCAATATAATATGTATTATTATATTCTATCTTTTTTTTTTATAGAGATTTTGATCCAAAACTGCTCTTTCATGGCCCTTCTCGATAAGCGTCAAGTCCATTAATTTAAATGCTTGGATAAAAAAAAAATTATTTCAAAAATAATAGCTAGATCGACTATAGTTTTGGTGCTAATCAACTCTTGTGCAGTTTGCTTCTCTTAAAAAGTACTCTTTTATTTTATAACCATCTTTGAAGAGCCGACCCGATTTTGAGTTTATGACTATTAATGTTCAACTCCGTAGTCTTGTAATTTTGGATCTAATCCAGAAGACGAGGGAACTCTTGGATCAAATATTGGGAGAAATTCGCCTCATTTTTATGGAACTAACCCACATTTGCGTTACACGGCGAAGAAAACCTCGAAAACCTCTCACAGTTAGCCTATCGGTAAGGGCACTCTGTCCCATGATCTGTCTACCAATGAAGATATTTTATGTCAGCTCTGCTGTCGGTGCGAGTCGGATGCAGAATTCGTATCGATCAGCTATCGCTGGTATTTGAATTTGGCCCACCACATTGAGAGGAGAGTGGTCTATCCCCTGATTCAACACGGATCCTTAAAAAGCAGGGTTGGATTTTTACCAGAGAAAAACCAGTTTTTACCGGCAAAAGCCATGGAAAAAACTTAGTAAATACTAGTAACCCATGTTTTTTTATTTTTAGATACAGTTGTTTGTTATTTATAACTGATAGAAATATATGTATTATTTCCTTATTATAGGTAATATCAGTAATTAATATTAATTAATTAGATTACAAATATTTATATATATACATATCAGCAAGTAACAAACGATTGGACAAGTTATAAGACGTAAGATAACTCCTAAATTGTAATTGTAAAACTAATTTTTCACATTTGCCAGTTGAGGCAAATCTTCTCACTATCGAAATCTTAGGAAAGTAGTAAATGTACAGTAAAACTTGTGTAAGTTGACCACTTGTGGTGCATTGTTTTAGTTTGTGGTGCATTGTTTTCCTATATCATGTTGCTATATATTTAAAAAACATTTTTACTTGACTTAATTTTATTTAGGAAATAGCCAAATGAATATCTTAAGAAATGTGTTTAAACCTGAATGAACTTCAATTTGTTACATATAATTCTAATAATTAACCAACTTTTTAGAAAAAATTATTTCGTTAGTTATGCATGTGAAGTGCTTAATAAAAATAATTTCTTAAAATATCAGAACACGAAAACATGTAATTTGAGAACTTTAACAAAACAAAATAATTTGAACACTTTAAAATTTATTCTGTTATTACTACACTTACAAACCTGTTTGTTACAAAAATATTCCCTCATTGTTGTTTGGCGCTGTTGTTTACACTTTACTCCCACCTAATGTTTTGAATGAAAGAAATGGTCAAAAGTTGACCCCGTACAGTTTCCACAGATTATCAACTCACAAAAGGGTTTAGATTAGCTTTTTACACTATTTCACCAAACAAGTGAAATTTTAACATACATTGCAAAATGACAGAAAAGTTTCTGAATTTTTTTTCTGGTCAACTTATCAGAGTTTTAGAATAGAATTTCATAATACTCCTAGACAAAATTTACTTATTTCAGTAGTCAACATACATTCAGTGATAGCCAGGTGGTCAAGTTACAAAGGTTTTGCTTTATATTATAAAGGAAAAATTCCGTTCTTGATAATTGAAGTCAACTTATGCAGGTGTCCAACTTACAAGGGTGGTCAACTTGGCAGGTTTCACTGTAATAGATTTTCAATATGAACCTATAACCATTAATTAAATATTAAAATCATAGTAATAAATTACATTATTGTATTATATCATTGGATACCATAACTTTAATACAGCTGCATTTACGTATTGAAAATAGCCAAAAAGCTTAAATAAGCAGAATTTTGTAATTTTATTTAAAACAAATTGAACAATATTATGTACTTCTTTTTAGATTTCTTCACTCTTTGCTGGATTTCAGAAACATATGAAAGATTTAAGGGATATCACCCGGCAAATGATTTCTCAAACAGAGACGCCATTTATATTCACCCTACCAGAAATACCAGAAGACTCCAGTTTAGAACAGCTGGCACAAGAAACTGTTTTCACAACAGAAGCTGATTGTTTAATGAGAGAATGGAACGATAGAATCTTAGATTTGTTAGAACAAATAACGCAAGAGGTAAGAAAAAAAGACAAATGTTATTAAAGTATAGTTTGTCTAAAGTAAGAACTCCCCTAGCCATTCGTCTGGATCCGTGACGGTGACTATGGTTACGAGGTATAACTATTTCAAGTAAGGATGTAGAGTCACTGTTTAGGACAGGTTTTGGCTCTGTTTTTCTAGAGAAAGGTAATTTTTTTCTGCGGTCTATTGTGTTAGACCTAGAGTGGAGAGAAACTACCCTTTCTGAATTACGCTATTCTTGTTTATAGAGCAGCAGACGGTCTCAGACTTTGTGGTGGTGGGGGGGGGGAATTCTTACCATAGACAAACCATAACAATCAAAAGAAGAAGAAAAAACAATCTCAACTTGAAATTTTTTTTTTTTTTGGTCGATCATTCAAAATTGGTATAGTGTCAGAGTTTGACGTAGTGTTAAAAGTACTTTAATTACCATTTTTCGATATTTTAAAGGAAAAATATTACAAATGGACGGGGATGCCCTCTTCGCAGCTTTAAACTGATATGGTGATTCCTTACTAGTGTTTAAATAAGTGCAAATAATGACAGAAAATACCATTCAAATTATTATAAAACATTTAAAAGGAAAATACAACAAAATATTAGACTTTCGAAATACAGTTTTTGCTATTTAAAGCGACAATTTTTTTTAGCCTGATCATCATTACACAATCAGTCATACCTTCAATTAATTCTACGGAAAAAGTGAAAAGAATGAAAAGAAATAAAATGTATACAAACTAAAAATTTTAAACGAGACAGTCAAAAGGAACGATGACTGACGATTCATAAAATATTTTTCATAAAAACGTGCTACATTTTTCAAATCTGGGACAAACTTTTATAATTTTTCAATAGTGTAACAATTTTTTATTTTCCTTCGAAGTTTTAATAGTATCTTCTGAAATATTTTTCGGATAAAAATCTAAAACTTTTTCCTAACAAACTCCACAGTATGAATTGATTTACTATTTCATCTCAATGTCTTAACCACGTACCATTTTCTTCTTCTTTTTTATTATATGTTTTTTCCAAGGGAATATCTTTCGTTCGTTGGATATATACGGTTTCACAAAATGCACTAAAATTTAATTCTTATACATTTCTTGCCATTTGTTTTTGCAGTAGGCTTAGTTAATCTCACTACCGTGTAATCTCGTTACCTCGAGAATTTAGCTTACTATATTTCAATCATATTATTTATTAGTTTGGTATTGATTATTATTTTTATTCATATTGTCTCTTGGTCATTTTAATCACGTCTTTCCTTATGCACAGAAACCCGAAGAAAAGAACTTGTTAGAGGAAGTAAAATTTTGGGATAATCAAAAATGGAAGGTTGGAGTCTGTCATGATCAGCTCAACCATACAGCCATCAAAGAAACAATACAGGTTTTAAAGCTCGCCAATTGCAGCGTTGCGAAATTCGAGACTAATGTCACGATGGTAGAAAACCAACTCCATAAAATTACAGAAATTATCAACTATCTTATTTTATTAGTACCGTACACAAAAGTAAGTTTTTTTTTTTTTTTTTTTAAATAATATTGCAAAGTCCTGTTACTGAATCCATTTATGCACAATATTTATCAATATTGATCAAAGAAAGCGTCTGACATTAAAGAATTTTTTTCTTTAGAATTTTACTTATTTTTATAACTTGCATAAAGCTTGTAAACGCGGTTTTTGCTGACATATGTTTCAAGATTTATTTTAATTGCTTAGTTGTTATTCCTTATTGTTCTAATTTTAAACGTATTTTTAGTTTCTTATTTCTTTTAACTATCTCGTCAACTTCGAAATACATTAATTCTAATGTAAGGTTTGGAATTCGAAAATACATAAAATTTAATGTAATTCATAGAAAAACAAAAGTTTTATTATATAAATCGCTTATAAGATCAATTTTAACATATGCTTGTGAAACCTGGACCATATCTAGTACGGATGGGGCTATGTTGGGTACCTTTGAGAGAAAGGTCATGAGAAGTATTTTTGGAGGAATTCGAAAAAATAGTGTGTGGCTTAGAAGATTAAATCTACAGCTTTATCACTCATATAAAGAACCTGACATTATTAACTTTAATAAATGACAAGGAATAAAATGAGCTGGTCGCGTTATCAGAATGGACGAAGACCGTACCACAAAAAGAGTTTTCAATGCCAGATCAGTTGGCACACGAAAAAGACCCAGGCCCAATTTGAGTTGAGTAGATGGCCTAGAAAAAAAACCTTTTGGTCTTAAAAACTGGAAAGCACTACCAGGAAAAACTTCTTGAGAAGGCCAAAGCCCACCCAGCGCTGTCGAGCCATTGATGATGATGGTCCCGTCAACTTTTTCTGATACAAAGAATCTATGACATTTTTTTGATACAGGGAATAGTTTCTACATATTATTCATGTTCCTCGATATGACAGCTAAAGAATATTTTAATCTTTATGCTGCAAGTAATTGTTTAATTTAATATAAACAGTTTAACAACGAATTTTTAAGCGCATGAAAGAAAGTGATTCCTTTAAGGAATATATACTGCTACTAGGAATACTGTTATAGGAATACTGTGCAAGTATATAATGTTTTTAATAATACATACTGCCATTTGGCATTCTATTATAGGAGTAAGTATCGAAGAAATTGATATTATTTTAAAGAATCATTTTCATCTATGAGTTAAAACATTTGTAGTTGAACTGCTTAGATTATAATTAAAAAGTAATTGTAACAATTCTCATAACACAAAAATATTTTACAAATGTATGATACAAGTTAGATAAATATGAATAAAAAAGATTTTATATTTTGCTATATGAATGCGCAGACAGGATTTGATTAGAAAATTAATTTGAAAAAAGATGTTACCCATAAAACTGCTCTTTTTACAGTAATTTATATAACTGCGAATTAGTAGTACTTATTTTGTTTGTCGGGATCTTAAATCCTTCATCGCGACAGACGAGATAATTCGTCTTCCGAGAATATCTCGCTTTATGATGATAATTGATTGCAATTGATTATTATTTTTAAAGTAAAATAAACAAATTTTAATTTTTTAGAGCTGTGTCTGGGACAAAAGCGCCATTGCAGCTAAGAAAGTGTTAAGGTTCATTTAAAGTTACATTAAAATCCATTTTCATTTAATGATTTAATGAAATTTTATTTATAGAATTATTACCGATGGAATTTTAAACACTTTTCATGTATCTAAAGTTTTCAGAAACTCTGTAAAAAGTGTATCTTCTTTATACTAACTACTTCTATGAAGGAATGTTGCGATTGATTTTTGAATTTCATTAGTCCTGATTCACCTTATAGGACGCTAATCCAGGTTCAAATTAGCGGTCGTTGATCGTATTTTGCACTTTAAATTCCAGTTTAAGATCATAATTTTCCAACCCCGTCGTCACTTTTGACGTTTCAATTGTGTCTATAAATATCAATTTTAAGACAGTAGTTTTACAGCCGGTCATCATTTTTCAAGCTTAACTCTTTCCAGAAAATTTTCCATTTCAAGACCACGATTTGCATCTCGATCATTTTTTTACGTCATCAATCTGTCATTTTATCTTTTTCTTCAGATAGGCAAGTGGATTCAGCCTCCACGCGGCCCTATAAACAGGTTTGTGGTTGTATGACGTGGGCGACGCTGCTCCATTTAGCCACGGGTGCCCACTGGGTAACGATAAGAGAATAGCAATTCTGGCATTTTTGAGACCAATGGGAAATAGACCCAAGTGCCCGTCATTAAAAAAATCGGCAAAATTTAAACTTTGTAAATTTTATTAAAAGAAACGTATTTTTGTATTTCTAAGAGATAATACTTAAATTTTCTAGTATTACCATATACATAATCATAAAAATCGTTTTCAGGGTCAAATGAAGAAATTTAAGAATTATTCTACTTTGTATTTAATTGCTTTAACTTTAGGTCACAGTATTGTCGTATAGAAAATGAGCAAAAATATTGATTTATCATTTCTCCTCCTTTTTTAGAATATTTTATCGGAAGATTATACCTTGGAAGAATGGAAGAAAAATTTAGAGCAGGTGTTTGTAGTTCTGAAAGTAATGTGGATGCAATCTGATTACTTTAAAAAGGTGGATAATATGAGCAGGATTTTCAAAAGTATTTCTATACTTTTAAAACAAAAAGTAAAAGAATTGGCTCGCATTGACGTTCTCTTTAAGAAGCCATTGCAAAAGGTAAGTCTATTATGAACATTTAGCGTAGCCACCACAGTCTAGGTTTAGGGTTTCTTAAAAACTTGTTCTGTCTTTTGGTTTAGTTTTGGATATTATTTTATTTTCGGCACTTTAAGTTTTTTAAACCGCACAGTATTACTAATTTGGTTTTCCATATGCACAGTATTTCCCATTAATGATTATGATTTATTTGAGTTTCGTAATGCCAACTACATGTATTGTACTATAAATTCTGAGGTTGGATTCAACGGTTTTTTCAATATTATTTTTAAATAACCGCTTAAAAACAAAACGAAAAATTGTTCAATTTTTTTTCCAACTTAGAAATAAGAAAAAAATTGTTCACATATTTTTTCCACCTTAGAAGTGAAAAGTGGGCAAAATAAAATAACTTTGTTCTGCTCATAAAATTGTTCGTTGTAAAGAAATATTTAAGAATTATTTATTTGTGTATTCTTTCCAACAAATCAATTTCAGTAATCTGTTTTTTTTTTTTTTTTTTTTTTTTTTTTTTTTTTTTTTTTTTAAGTTAAGGTTCAAACATATTGCCTTTGTGTAAAATATATTATAAAAAAATTTTACGCTAATTTTCTATTTTTAAGAACTGCTTCGAATTAAAATCTATCAACTCAAAAAAATTCATTTTTATTCATGATTATCTATATTTAATTCAGAACATTTTTATACGTACTTTTATAAATATAGATATATTATTACATTTAAGCAGTAAATAATAAAACAAAATAGTGTCAAAGAGAAATTCAAACTATTTGTGGAAAAACTTGAACTAAGACAGAGAAAAAAAATCTCATTACCAGAATATTTCTTGAAAACACAAACAAACACATGTAGATTTCTTTAAATCACAGTTTTTACTTAATGCCATATTACACTATAAAACGATATTAATCTTATGGTAAGAACTCTATGAATAAATTGATATGTGGCAAGTGATCAAGTTTTATATAATAAACAAAGTTTGTAAAATCTTGAAATAATTTAAATAATTCTTTAATAAGCACAAGATTGCGTTTTTTAACCATAGCTCCCTTGCATTTTGGATAAAATCTAGTATCGTACAAGATATCATCATTGTAACACAAAACCATGTTTTATTTCAGCCTATACCAAACAAATGGTTTATGAATAGAAATAAAATCTAATCAAACTTATCCTGAGTTTTGTTATTTTACAATGACCTGCATTAGATTACGCCTTTTTCTTGTTTCCCGACAAACACGCCATAACGATAGTACTGTATTTTCAATTGTATCATTAAAGTAATTCCAAATGTTGCTTTTACATAACAGATTAGTGTCCTCATCACTAAGTAGAGTTCATATTAGAGACATTCAATATAGTTCATATTCAGTATTTTTTGTTTAGAAAATCTAATCAGGTAATAAATTCATAAATGAAATAATAAAATAACATCTTCTTATTTGTTTAAGGTGAAGCAAATTGTCACAGATTCTGTTGAAGTTTTGAGCTTTTGGAAGAAACTGTATATGGAAGAGAGCGAGAACGTAAAGAAGTTTGGATCAGCTTATTGGTGGACTTTTGATATAAGGCATTTTTTCAATGATACTGATTATATCATCATCATTTGCAAAGACATAGAAAATATAGCTAATGTAAGTTATTTAATGAGTTGTTAATCACCTCTTTTCATTTAATCAACTGGTAAACTCGAATAGAAATATATAAAAAAAATTTGAGTTATAGATAAAAATGATCCGATTAAGGTTTGTTAAGCATAATTCTGCTCTGGAAAACGAAAACAAACAATGATAGGGAATTTTGCTATTCATTAATTTTTTTTCTGTATAAGGACTGCATAATTTATTTTGAGTAAATGCCATGCGGAATCAAATTCCTAATCCGGGCAACTACCCTTAATCCAGGCAAATTCAGTCAACCAGTCTTTAGTCCTTTCCAGAGACTAAAATGGTTACATATCAGAAAAATGTTAATGGCAAGTTTAAAAAAATTAATTACTTTTCATCGAATATTCACGATCGCAACGCTCGAATACTTCCTCAGGGGAGAAAACCCGTTCCATGTGTCTTTACCCTACCCTCCTCTTTTCATTTGTATAGGAATGTGCCACGGTATTTTCCCTTTTCTTAATATTTTTAGTGCTTAATTGTCAAAAATATTTTTCAAAATTTTCACGATACTTTCCTTTAGAACTATGTTCAATGTAGTTTTGAGTTCCATATAGTTTCCTTACTTAAAAGTTTTTAATCTATTTGAAAATCAAGACAGAAACTAGCGTACTTCCTTCTCCTATGACTCTCCCCACGCTAATGGTAAAAGCTACGAAGTGTTGCCATAGGTAAAAAGTTCTCACCTGTTTCCCATTTCCATCTCCAATAGTAAAATTAGGGGTGAAAACAAATAATTTTAGTTCGATCAGTATTGTATGACTGAAAATATATGGATTATTTGAATATTTAAAATCACAATTTTTGGCATAAAGGCTACTCTTATCAGTACTCAAGTTTATACGTCACTCATGGTATATAATATGCGATACTTCGTATGTATCTACATATTTTTTCAAATATCTATTACATATTGATCTTTCCAGAAACTTCATGAGCTTCATAATATCTTCAACACACATCTAAGATTGTTCGTAGAAAACGTCAAAGAACTGAACGCATTGAGAAGTCGAATTTTCAGCATGACTCTCATCATACAATATGTAAGATGCATTTTTATTTTTCAATAATGAATATTCAGTCGCAAGTTTTTCATATTCACTGATGATCGAGATTTTTAGAACAACATTTTGATTGCCATACTCTTGTAGTTATGTAACTGGTGCCTAGGTATAGTAAAGTGGTTAAGCCCTTCATGATAAGACAACGCCACCTGATTAAAAACTAAGAAGTTATTGTTCCTATCTTTAAAGGGTGAGATACAAAGTTGCAGAACATCATTAATTAAGTACCCTTATAAACATAAATATTCAGAAAGCAATGCTTAAAACAGAATGCCTGTTCCTCTAAAGGAATTGAAAATAGATTCCTCTTAAGGATTAAGCTCTTGCAAAGTGATGGTATTTCGTGACAAGTAGTTTTTTCTTTTTTTCGGATCGCTTCGTTAAGTTACAGTGTAAGAAATTTCAAACAAACAAATGCATGTTTTAAACGCTAATTTGCTGAACAATAATGTCCACAAGGTGCCTTTTGGTATTAAATCGATGATATTCTTCAAATTTGTTATTTATTCTACCCCTCCCTCTCGTTCCATTTTTAAAATATGACCGCTAACGTCACAGATTGACACCACACGGATCTGTAAGCCATTTCATCTTTTAGCCTATAATCACTTTATTATACCTAGGTTCCACTGTTATAAATATAACTTTAGCCATTCTGTAATTAAGAAGGTGGATACATACTTTATTGGGCACATTACATACATTCTTATAGTACCGAAACGACAGTCTGTATTGTTTATTTATGCTTATTACATTACAACTACGCAGTGGCGTAGCGAGCTTAACTCGCGCCCGGGGCACAATACCCTTTTAGCGCCCCCTATTCAAAAACCATATAATATTATATGCAAAATATACTCGCAAATTAATAATACATATGATTAATAATCATATGATTATAATACATTAATAAAACTAATTACTATCTCTAAATTTTTCGTGCTTTTGATGAAGCAAATGTATCAATAATATCATCAAAATTGTTCATTTAAAATTTTTCTTTTTCCACACTTAAAAATGCTAGGTCACTTAGGCGATCTGTCAAAATTAATTTTAATTTGCTGAATGAACGTTCGCAGCTAGCAATTGATACTGAGATAGTCAGGAGTATTTGAAATGCCGCTCTCAGATTTGGAAAAACATCTTCTCCATTCGAGATTGATTATAAAAGTAAGAAATTCTAATGGAGTTTTAGGTTTAATTTCTTTTCTACTGCTGAGTAACATTTTGCTGTCACATATTTTGATAAAAAAGTTCTATTACATTGAAATCTGTATTATAAAATTCTCCCAGATTTTTAAAATTTTTTTTCAAGGTCGTTATCAACATTATCCTTGTTTAATAAATTTTCAACGTCT